ATTAGAATATAGCAAATTATATGAACTATTATGTCTGCAGTTTTTGTCAAGCAAGTAATTCATGTCAACAAGAAAACAGACACCGCAAGAAATCATATGCAAATCCAAGGGGAGCGTGACCTCTGCCCTCTCTCTTATAAATACAAGGCAGTGCCACACCTGAATTATTTTCGAGTGTAAAATTCTTTGGGACTGTAGAAGCTATAGCTCTCCCCTCAGGCAGGGTTAAGGTATCTGAAGAATGCAGAGTTGTGTTCATGAAGAAGATGGCATTATTGTGTCTTCCCCTGTGCCTGGTGAGAGCTCCCCAGGGTGTGTCTTAGATGTCAGACATGGGTCTGTGGGGTGAGCGTAGGCACTTGTGACAGACAGGCACCGATCATCCATGTACTCACATGCCCTGTCCCAGGAGCAGCTGCGGGAGTCAGCCCTGGACTGAAGAGCCCACACTGTCCCTCTGCGTCACCTGCACTGCATCAGGCCACTCCATCACAACCAGTTCTTAGTACTGGACTTGGATCTCCCAGCTCTCAGGGAGGGGCTGCAATGGATAGACTGCATTGGTAGGGGCTGTGGGAATCCACTTGTCTTGTGGGAAAATGGCAGCATCCCCTGATTTTATAAGGCAGAATAATGCTGTGTTGTGTACACGTACCACATTGTCTTTCTCCATTTGTCCATTGACAGACACTTAGTTTCCATGTCTTGGCTGTTGTGAATAGTTTTGCAATAGGCCTAGGAGTGCAGGTATCTTCACGAGGCGGTAATTTCACCTCCTCTGGGCATGTTTTCACAAGCTGGATCGCTGGTCACATGGTATTTCTGTTTTCATTTATTAAGGGGGCTCATACTGTTTTGCATAATGGTCAGAATATGGAATGTCACAGCCACTGTGAGCAACAGTTTTAGTTTTGAGGTACAATCTACAAAAAAATAATGTTTGATTGTGGTTCTTCACATAAGGCTCTAATAACTCTAATGAAAGTCCATAAATTTTTCCACATTGGGCAAGGATAAGTTTGCCCCTAATTATCTTTGAGGGAGAAGATTGTCAGAATGTGAGATGGAGGCTGTCGGCAGGATTCAGGATGATTCAGTAATAAATAGTAATGACAGAGGAAAATGGAGACAGGAAGAGAAAGAGAGAGAGAATGAATCTGTAACAGTCAAATCCGCTGAACACCAGCGTGGGGTTTTCAGTCACAGACACATCTACATGAGCGAGGAACCATGAAGTCAAGTGAGGCGCGGAGAACATGTTCAGTTTAAATCAACGTGTTCTCAGAGACACCCATTGCCCGTCACACGGGTGAGAAATCTTTCAAACCAGTGAAGTGGGAACTCACAGTGAGTCATGAAGTCACCATGTTTTCATAAACTTTCATTAACATGTCAAGGACTTCTACAGCTCACTCATGTACAAATGTGCAAGATGCGTTTGTGCATTTGTGGATGTCTAGAGAAAAACAGTGTTTTGAGAAAATGTTTTCAAGTTACAGAGATTGGCTTAAGTTGGAGATCTCAGAGGAGAGTGTCTGTGAGTGAATACTGGTCTGTTGCTTAAACAGGTCAGAATTCCCTCTGTTGGAGTAGCCTTCCAGTTGGGTAGATTTCTTTATGGCTTCTTGAGTTGTAAAACATGAACCCAAGGATTCACTTACTGGAATCTGACTGCTGTGTTGATAGAATTTCTGATGAGTTTCTTCCAGTGCTCTGAGAATAGCTTTCCTATTTCTTTACTCCAGGAAATGAATTTCCACAAGCTCTCAGGGCACCACGTTTCAGGTGCTTTAAAGAGACCGACTTCCTGGGGGCAGGCGGCTTTCTTCTAACCGTGAGCTCACTTCTTCCACACACCATTCAGGTCCTAGCTCTATTATCAGGAATTGTGAAGATGTTCTTGTTTCTAAAACAGTTAATTCCTCTACTGAGAAACTACAAGTAGAAGGTGCTGGATCTTTCTTTGAACGTGTCCCAAATAAATCGGTTTCCTAGTTCACATGCTCACACTTCAAATAAAGGCAGGTGCTCTCCCAAAGGTAAGGATAGTGGTTTTATTTTTGTATTTAGAGATAAAACTCCAGTTACCACAATCATTTTAAAATATAATGCATTATCCAGAGTCCTTATCGAGCTTGCCTCTTGGTTGTGGGCTATTCTGTTTGGTTAACACTTCTTTCAAAATATATTCAACATGTGGCTTGGCAGTTCATATATGGACTAATCAGTGCAAATTAAAATGAATTTTTTCTTTATTTGTGACTCTACTGTTATTAATAAAATCCAGGTTTTCTCTATTAATAAAAAAAGAATTATGAAGATGTTACAGTCAAATGCACTGAAAATCCTTCCCGTTCAATCAAATGTTGATTGGCACAGACATGAATTGGCCACTCTAGGATATGTGTCCTATGTTATGGGCTCAACCTATCAGTGGACTGAGAATCTTCCATCATCTGCAGCCCCACGCAGCTCCAGAGCAACCCTTTAGGATACTTGGTGGTGAAGCTGTTTCAGGGAAGAAATGTCTGCTCAGGTGAAACAGTGAGGCTGCTCTGAGCCACAGTAAACAGTGAACTGACCCAGGTTTCTCTGAGTTCAGTGCGATGATTACACTCAGCTGCTGCTCCGGTGTGTTTAAGTGAGCCCGTGACAATTTAGATGAGCCTGGCTGTGTGGTTTCTTACATGTAAATCTGAACTGCATAAACACAGAGGGCTTGTCAGACCTAGTGTGAGGGTGTGAAATCCTGGAGACCCCACACTCTACACTCTTAATTTTTTCTGCTCCAGGAACCTCCAGGTACTTTGGATAAGAATTGAGATAATTTCATAGGAAAGTCATCAAGACACCTAAACTCTGAGAAACACACAGATAAACTTCTCCAGATAGACCATCTAGGGGAAGGACATTTCTAGCACCTTGTCTATGTGGGGGAAGCTCGTCCATCTCCATTACAGACCCCTCCCAGCAGCCTTCCTTTATCATGAAAATGGGTCAAATTAGCCAATAGGGTAAGAAACCTATAATGTTGCAGCCAGAAAAGGGAAAGCATCAGTTTAGGCTCTGGAGACTCTGTGTATAGGTCACATTCCAGAGAAAGAAGTCCACTAACTTATTAAGATTCAATTGTAACAACGTGTAATACTACCAGGATGCACAAATTGCCTTCTCACCAGTATGGTTATTCTGGATTAAAGATGAAAGCAGGCAATGCACAGACTCTATCTGAGGAGGAGAACAGGGAAAATGAAAGAGAATGGCAGAGAACAAGACAAGGTCAGAAGAGGCATCTGAAGCCTCTGACATCAACTCTGTAGAGACAAGGTCTTGGCCACTCCCTCTTGACCGCAGTTTATCTTATCGCGGGGCACTTGCAGGGTTCCTAGCTGGGGAAAAAATAAAAACCTGCATGCACTTCCCGAGTCTCCACTTGTATCCTGTTTACACTGGATTTCTAGGAGATAAAAAGGCATAAACCTAGACCCAGTGTCAGTGCAGGAGCACTTTCCACAGGCTGGACACTGGGAAGAAGGGAAATGTGTGCCGTTGGAAGAGAAGATGCAGAGACGGCTGTAATCTGAATGCACCTGCACCTGCAGGCACTCTCAGATGCAACGTTCAACTACGAGAACCTAATGAAGAAACGGGGGCCTCCCAAAGTCCTGCACGTTCCTGTCTTCACTGCGTGTCCACTGATCAGAGCATCTGCAGCTTCAGAGAGGGGGCTGCCTCCTCTGTCAGAGAATCTTTCCTTTGGGTCTTTCTGCAGAGTTCAATAGGTTTGGTTAGGCTAATCAATTGTTTCAACAGAAGTGTTGGCAGCAGATACTGTCGCTGAGAGAGTTTTCTAAACCAGGACACAGCCACTCTATGCTGGACTAAAGACTCGGGAGGAAAATGCTTTGTGAGCCTGACAGGATCCTCCTTGCAAGGCAAGCGCTGGGCTGGAGGGGGCGCTCGGGAGCCACGCAGCACAGGGTCCCGCCCAGAGCGGGAAGCTGGAGGGAGGTTTCCTCTCAGGGCCTTGGTTTTCTTTAGTCAGAAGAAAAAAAATCTAAAATAACTTCTACACGTTGCTGATGTGACATTAAATATCCTGCTACAGTGGAACAATTCATGTAACTTGGGGCACTGAGAACTATTTTTTAAAGTGAGCTTCTAGGATTGTAAATATCTTAATAGCGAGAATATGATGAATAGGGATGGTTTTATTAATTCAATGGGTGCAGAATTGTGAGTCACTATATTCCCACAAATAAGAAATTCACATTTCACTGTTATGTTTCCTGCACTGTGTGAGTGACAGGGCAGTGGTGGATCTGCGAGTGTGGCAGGTGCACAGACCTAGTGAGTCAGAAATCAATATGGAAAGGTGAGGATCTATGGACATGAACTGATGGTATGTAAATACTTCGTGAAATTCTAATAAATGGAGTTGTAAATAAAACCCACAATTATCCATAACTCAGATTCCTTGGAAGTTATTTTGGGATCATGAATTCACAAAGAACTTTAAACTCCTATTTCAACTTCTGGCTCCCAGTGTCTGTGATAGAAGAAAGTCATCTCCAATTATGATAACAGGGCCAGGTTGTTTTTATTGAAGAGCCTGAGCAATGAAGATTCGAGGCAGGTGATGGAGACACTGTCTCAGGAGCGCAGAGCAGATCTCAGAGGAACCTGGAGGACACGAGGAACCTGGGGGACACTCATGTGGAACATCAGCAGTCAGTTCCTCAGAGTCGCCAGTGAGCTGTGCTGGTTCCTGTGGGAACCACGATGGGGCCAAGGCACCTGCTCAGCATCACGGACATTGATGGTCCAGAAATTATCTAGGTGGTCTTTATGCTAATCAAATATGGGTTCACAGTGAGGGGCATCATCTGTGGGGACTTGTTCTTCAGTGAAACGTTGCTCTCCCCAAATAGAAATGGAGCAGGATGTGGATTTTCTTAAAGCAGGATTAAGGCTTGGACCATCAGCATCGCACTCCTGTGTGTTGGATGTGTCGTGTATCTTCTTTCTCACTCTCAGTCAGGCTTTGAGCTATGAAATAATCTGTCTCATGAATATACAAATAATGTGAGGTCTACTGAAGTACATATGGGAATGTCTGGGCCCCGAGAGCATCACCAACAACCACGTCCCTCCTCTAGAGCAGCCCCTGAGTGTAAATCTCTTCACCATGGACTGGACCTGGAGGATCTTCTGCTTGCTGGCAGCAGCTGCAGGTAAAGGGCCACCTAGTTGCATGGCTGAGGACGAAATTTTTCACAGCTGAGAGGACTTTGATTCTCTACTGTCTTCTCTCCACAGGTGCCCACTCCCAGGTGCAGTTGGTGCAGTCTGGGGCTGAGGTGAAGAAGCCTGGGGCCTCCGTGAAGGTCTCCTGCAAGGCTTCCGGATACACCTTCACCAACTACTACATGCAGTGGGTGCGACAGGCCCCTGGACAAGGGCTTGAGTGGATGGCAGAGATCAACCCTAGTAGTGGTAGCACAAACTATGCACAGAAGTTCCAGGGAAGAGTCACCATGACCAGGGACACGTCCACGAGCACAGCCTACATGGAGCTGAGCATCCTGAGACCTGAGGACACGGCCGTGTATTACTGTGCGAGAGACACAGTGTGAAAACCACATCCTGAGAGTGTCAGAAACCCCAGGGAGGAGACAGCTGTGCTGGGGCTGAGGCAGTGAAAGGGATTATTAGATTGAAGACTTTCCTAGAAAGAGAGGTCCATTCATGAAGAAAGGGGACCATAAAATTTGTATGCACTGTAATTACTTGGGAAACTCTCCATACAACACTTATTCTGTAGGCAAAATTCAGGGAGCGGAAAATAAATTAGATTAATAAAACATAGAAGAATTCCTCTGAAGACATTAGTGTGAACATCAGTTTTTGAATTGGTATTTTTAATATTTTGGAACAGAGCTGCTAGATCACATTTTAATTCTACTTTTATCTTCATTGTATGAAGTGTCCAAATATTTCATCATATTTTGTGCAGTTCTGATTTTGGATTTACACCAGAAATGCACGAGAGACCGAGTTCTTCCACATCCTCATTGCCACTTGGCATCATGAGAACTGTGGATTTAAACCACTCTAATAAAATAGTACTGATATCTCCTTCTTGTTTAAATGCACCTGTCCCGAATTAACATTTTATATTTAAATATGTTTAGGCAATTTGGATGAAGTGTCTGTTTTGATATTTGGCTCATTTTGTTGCATTGTTTTCTTTTGATCAGTTATAAGTTTCTTACCTACTAATTATAAAAGTCATTTACCAAGTTAACCAAAAGTCCTTTAATAAATATGTGACTTGCAAGTCTATTCTCCAAGTCTTCACTTGTCTTTTCATTCCCTTATCCATGTGGCAGAAAGATATTTATAGACGTGTGTGTCTGAGTGTAAACTTGAATGAAATTATTTTGTTTTCTCATAGATCATCTAAAAATTCATTACAATATTCACTGATACAGGATTTTTTCTTTTTCTCTAATCTCACGCCACAATCACAGCATAAGTGTTTATGTTTCACCTACTGGGTGGGAGGATTATTAAGCTATTTGGAATTCTGTGTGGGAGTTGTCTTTTTTCTAATTTCCTTCATTAATAAATTGTTAGTATTGGTTTATGGAGGTTAACTTGATGATCTGGAGAAGACACAGTGCTGCATTATTGATTTTATTTCTCCAATCACCACAGGCTTTTAGCTTCAATCAGCCCTTTCAGTTTGGGTTCTGTGAGGCACACCCCATTTTTAGGTTCTGTCAGCCCTTTCAGTTTGGGTTCTGTGAAGCACACCCCATTTTTAGGTTCTGTCAGCCCTTTCAGTTTGGGTTCTGTGAGGCACACCCCATTTTTAGGTTCTGTCAGCCCTTTCAGTTTGGGTTCTGTGAGGCACACCCCATTTTTAGGTTCTGTCAGCCCTTTCAGTTTGGGTTCTGTGAGGCACACCCCATTTTTAGGTTCTCTCAGCCCTTTCAATTTGGGTTCTGTGAGGCACACCCCGTTTTTAGGTTCTGTCAGCCCTTTCAATTTGGGTTCTGTGAGGCACACCCCACTTTTAGGTTCTCTCAGCCCTTTCAGTTTGGGTTCTGTGAGGCACACCCCACTTTTAGGTTCTCTCAGCCCTTTCAGTTTGGGTTCTGTGAGGCACACCCCATTTTTAGGTTCTGTCAGCCCTTTCAGTTTGGGTTCTGTGAGGCACACCCCATTTTTAGGTTCTCTCAGCCCTTTCAGTTTGGGTTCTGTGAAGCACACCCCATTCTTTGTTTTTGAACAAGTCCCTATTTCCCGCTTTATGGGAAATTCTAAGCTCATTTTCTCTATTGTGTTTTCCATACATAGAATCAGTTGTTTCTCCAAGTATTTCTGGTTGCTGGTGTTAAATGATTACATAAAATACAAAATTGTGTTATTGGGTTTGTGAGTTGTTAATGAGATGCCAGTGCTCCTAGGATCTCTAACCTAACTGGCCTAGAAAACATGCATGTATATATCAACCCATGTTTGCAGGACCATCTAAACTAGTTATGGACCTTGTCTTCTGTACCTTTATTACATAAACCTTTAGAAAACCCTGGTGCTACAGTCCACTATGCTTCGTGGCTGCCTATTCCTGTGCGTGTTTCTGGACATTCTATATCAGGCTTCACTTCCATTATGTTTTAATGTCATCGCTGAAGACAGCCAAGATATTTTAAAAACAGCCAGGCACACAGCCATTTGACCAAGTGAGCTCTGCTTCGTTATCCTCACCATCTTCTGCCCTAATAAACAGCACAATTGTCACTGAAGCTTTCCTTGGAGTAGCTCATGGACTTAGAGTCACTGGTGCTCCGCCCTCCTGTCAGTGGCAACAGATTCTATTGACTTATGTGGAAACCTCCTAAAGAGACAAGTTTCTTTGAACACAATAGAAATTTAAGGTAGGAATAAATTATTTGCCAGCAGTTCATTGAAGGTAATTGCTAAGAAGAAGTTAGGAAAGTCTGTTGGCAGTCATTTCTTCAGGGTGTACGGCAGTGTGGGATGGAGAGATGAAGTGGAAGATGCACTTGGGTTAGTTAAACAGAATAGCTGTCAATGTTAATCTGTTGGCGACTTAACTGAATGCAAAAGCCTATACATCATTCTCAGCAAACTGACACAAGAACAGAAAATGAAATACCGTATATTCTCACTCATAGGAGGGTGATGAAAAATTAGAACACATGGACACAGGGAGGGGAGTACTAAACACTGGGGTCTATTGGGGGGAAAGGGGGAGGGCCAGCGGGGGGGGAGCTGGGGAGGGATAGCCTGGGGAAGAATGACAAATGTGGGTGAAGGGGAGAAAGGAAGCAAAACACACTGCCATGTGTGTACCTATGCAACTGTCTTGCATGTTCTGCACATGTACCCCAAGACCTAAAATGCAATTTAAAAAAATAAAGAAAGAAAGAAAACATATATATACATATATACACAATGCCCCCCGTCCCACACATCACCTTCAGTGTAATTAATCTAAATTGAAGATGAGTGTGGCAATGCTGACTCCATCTAGGGAGAAGAACATAGAGAACTGCAAAGACAATGGGAGAAAGACTTCAAGGACAGCAGAGCAATTGGAAGCCTCTGACAGCAATAACTTGATGACCAGGGTCATGACTCAACCCTTGCTGGACAGAAAGTCACTTCCCTTAGGGCAACCACAATATTCGGGTGAGAACAGGCAAACATGATGAATGTGCACGTGCTACGTCTCCAGTTGTGTACTGTTTTCTTTCTGTTTGCAGAAGGAAGTCATATGCTCATGTCTAGTATTGGTGTAGGGGGTGTTCCCCATTTGAAAGACACTAGACAAAAGGGCAAGTCAGAGCCCCATTATAGTAAAAATCAACTAGCTCTGTGTGAGTGTGAGTGTGTGTTTGTGTATGTGTGTGTGTTGTGGAAACAGAAGCTGTGGAGTGGGCATTGATCCATAAGCACATACACCTACATCTATTCTTAGATGTCACAGTCAACTGCAGGAGCCTCAAGCAGATAAAGGATCCCCCAAAACTCTTGAAAATTTTGTGCTCATTATGTGTCCACTGATTCAATGCATCCTGAGAGCCAGGGAAGGGGCTCCCCAATTCCTTAATAAAATCCTTGTTTGGGGTCTCCCTGCAGAATTCACTGGGTCTCCTAAGGTCAATGTTTTCAAAACACGGTGTCAGTAACAAACGGCGTCACTGAAGGAGCATTTTAAACTAGGGCATGGCCGCTCCCTATAGCCCTGGCGACACTGAGAGATGAATTCGCTGTGAGCCCAGATGGAAACCTCCATGCAATGCAGAGGCAGTGCTGCAGGGGGCGCCCGGGACCCACCCAGCACAGGCTCCAGCCCCAGAGCTGGTGCGCAGGGGGTTTCTCACAGGGACTGAGTGTTACTTTCTCGAAAACCAAAAAATTGTAAAAGGTAAAAATGAGAATTTTACAAAGACGTATTATGTATATTTAAATACCCTAATACATTTAGTGATAAATAAATCAACAACTCAGAGACAATCACATTTAAAAGGCAAAACTGTTACTGCATTGAGATATTTTACCAGCAAAAGAGATAAAGAACCAAGATGGTTTTATTAAATCAAAAGGTACACATTTAATAAAGGTACACATTAATAAGATGGCAGACAGCAAAGCCTGGCGAGGGCGGAGGCTGTGCATGTGCCATGGGAACTTGGGCTCACGTTGAGAACCATGTCCTGTGTGAGTCGGCTTCTCAGTGGACAAGTTCTCCCTTCACAAAGTTCTGGGTGTACAAAGGGACACGCGACATTAAATAAGAATGAGGACGTGCACCTCAGCATCCCACAGCTGTGTGGTTCCTGTGAGATCTATTTTCCCTTTCTCACTCTGGATCAGGTGTCAGGCTATGAAGGAGTAGAGCTCATAAATATGCAAATCACCTGAGGTCGATACTCCAGATATATCTGTGTCCTGAGAGCACCACCCAGTAACCGCACTCCTCCTCCGGAGAAGCCCCTGAGAGGACACCTCCTCACCATGGACTGGACCTGGAGGATCCTATTTTTGGTGGTCATGGCTACAGGTAGGATCATTCTCAGTCCCCAGGACTGAGGAGGTGACTGGGTCCAGTCAAAGGGGGTCTTATCCACTCCTGTGTCCTCCCCACAGGTGCCCACTCCCAGGTGCAGCTGGTGCAGTCGGGGGCTGAGGTGAAGCAGCCTGGGGCCTCAGTGAAGGTCTCCTGCAAGGCTTCTGGATACACCTTCACTAGCTACTGTATGAACTGGGTGCGACAGGCCCATGCACAAGGGCTTGAATGGATGGGATACATGTGCCCTGGTGATGGCAGCACAGGCTACGCACAGAAGTTCCAGGGCAGAGTCACCATGACCAGGGACACATCCACAAGCACAGCCTACATGGAGCTGAGCAGCCTGAGACCTGAGGACACGGCCGTGTATTACTGTGCGAGAGACACAGTGTGAAAACCACATCCTGAGAGTGTCAGAAACCCTAGAGAGGAGGCAGCTGTGCTGGGGCTGAGGAGATGACAGGGATTATGAGGTTTAAAGTTGTTTAGAAGATGGGTTGTAACTGAGGACAAGGAGCACCAGAAACAATGACACACTGTAATGTTATGAGAAATATTTTACTGAAGAGTCGCCCTTTACACAAATTCACAGAGTAGGAAAGACCCTTTATCAGTCTGTTCTCATGCTGGTAATAAACACATAGCTGGGACTGCGTGATTTATAAAGAAAAGTGGTTTAACAGATTCAGTTCCACATGGCTGGGGTCTCACAATCATGGAAGAAGATGAAGGAAGAGTAAAGGGCATCTTACATGGCAGCGGGCAAGAGAGAGCTTGTGCCAGGGGGACTCCCCTTTATAAAACCATCATCAGATTTGGTGAGACATAATCACTACCACGAGAACATTATGGGGGAAACCACCCCCATGATTCACTTATCTCCACCTGGCCCGCCCTGGACATGCGGGAATTATTAAAACTCAAGATGAAATGTGGGTGGGGATACAGCCAAACCGTATCAATAAAACTGACACAAACATTCCCATGAACATATTATTATGAACAAGTTTTCAAATTGGATGGATGAGTAATTTGGAGCAAGAATATTTGGTCACATGATAAGACTAAGTATGATTCTGAAGAAATGACCAAAATGTCTTCCAAGAATCTCTCTGTCACTGTTTAGAATAACAGTGAAATCAGCAGGAGGTACCAGAGCTCCATGAACCCCTGCCCAACACAGGCACAGCCTTCTTCACTATCAGCATCCTGCACCAGAGTCGTCAGTAAGTTACAAAGGATGAAACTGCAGGGACACTTTGGTTCTTTCTTTTGGTGGTGATCCCCTGGTATAACAAGCCTAAATTATCTTGAAGCACCACAGATATTTTCAGAGGGTTTCTAGGAATGATGTTACTTAGAGGGAAAGTGGGTAAGGCTATTCCTGTCTAGACACTTTCTTCCAAGATCCACAAAACCCGTATTGATTAAGAACTGATCTTACTCCTGGTTTACTGTGCCCCTTCCCAAAGGGTAAGGTGTCGAATCTTTTAGAGGAATGTCCATCTTTCTTAGTGAATCTCGCAATGAAATGAATGTCCTTTAATAAGAAGTGGAGACCTTGGCCATGAGAGATGTCAGGTATGAGGCCCTGTAGACGGATTATCTACACTGTAGGCTCCTGGGTGGTGTTTCTGGTTAAAGTCTTTTATGCAGCAAATGCAAGCACATGCATGGGATCCAGGCAGAGACAAAAGCTCCGCTTAGGAAGAGGGTGGGCACCTGGAAAACCCCTCTCCGATGTGGGCACTGTTTTCCTGTGCTGGCTGCACATTGTCAAGAGGCCTGAGCCTGACTGGTCTTGCAGAGGGAGAGCCTCTCTGGGGTCACAGGTGACAATAATGCCTGTCATCCTCCAGCTGAGCAAGTCCATCTGCTTGCTTATTGGTGTCAGTGTCATGTGGGGTGCACTCTGGAAGATGACAAGGTGCACACAAACCTCCTTCCACTAATTATCCACTACCACTCACTCAAAAACCACCGGAGCTCCAGAAACGGATACCTGCAGGAGGAAATACTAATTATCCACCACCACTCACTCAAAAACCACCTGAGCTCCGGAAACGGATACCTGCAGGAGGAAATGCTAATTATCCACTACCACTCACTCAAAAACCACCTGGGCTCCGGAAACGGATACCTGCAGGAGGAAATACTAATTATCCACTACCACTCACTCAAAAACCACCTGAGCTCCGGAAATGGATACCTACAGGAGGAAATACTAATTATCCCCACTCAGAAATGGATACGTGTAGGAGGAAATACTAATTATCCACTACCACTCACTCAAAAACCACCTGAGCTCTGGAAACGGATACCTGCAGGACGAAATACTAATTATCCACTACCACTCACTCAAAAACCACCTGAGCTCCGGAAATGGATACCTACAGGAGGAAATACTAATTATCCCCACTCAGAAATGGATACGTGTAGGAGGAAATACTAATTATCCACTACCACTCACTCAAAAACCACCGAAGCTCCAGAAACGAATACCTGCGGGAGGAAATACTAATTATCCACTACCACACATATAAAAACCACCTGAGCTCCGGAAATGGATACCTGCAGGAAGAAATACTAACTATCCACTACCACACATATAAAAACCACCTGAGCTCCAGAAAAGGATACATGCAGGAGAAAATACTAATTATCCACTACCACTCACTCAAAAACCACCTGAGCTCCGGAAATGGATACCTGCAGGAGGAAATGCTAATTATCCACTACCACACATATAAAAACCACCTGAGCTCCAGAAACGGATACCTGCAGGAGGAAATACTAATTATCCACTACCACACATATAAAAACCACCTGAGCTCCGGAAATGGATACCTGCAGGAAGAAATACTAACTATCCACTACCACACATATAAAAACCACCTGAGCTCCAGAAAAGGATACATGCAGGAGAAAATACTAATTATCCACTACCACTCACTCAAAAACCACCTGAGCTCCGGAAATGGATACCTGCAGGAGGAAATGCTAATTATCCCCACTCAGAAATGGATACGTGTAGGAGGAAATACTAATTATCCACTACCACTCACTCAAAAACCACCTGAGCTCCAGAAACGGATACCTGCAGGAGGAAATACTAATTATCCACACCACACATATAAAAACCACCTGAGCTCCAGAAAAGGATACGTGCAGGAGGAAATAGAACTTAAGTATTGTCTTATCTGGGGAAGACACAACCAAATACTACACGTTTCTGGAAAATTAGCTCAGAAATGTTTAGTGACTGAAGGGCAGTGGTGGGTGAGGTGAGGTGACAGCCTCAGGGCAGGGCTCACTTCCCCATGCAGGCTCTTCCTCCAGGACCTGCACCAGGAACTCAAGAAGGATCGGGAAGAAACATGGAAATATCCTTCTGTGGTGCTGCCTAGAGAGGGAAAATAAATTAAGGATAAAAATCCACTCTGAATAAACCATGGGCATTTTTTTATTAAGAAACCTGTATTTACTTAATAGAGCTCTCCATTTTAAACACACAAAATATACATTATCCACAAAATCTAATGATATATCTAAAGATATACAAAGACTCAAAATAAGGGGAAGGAGAAAAACTCACCAACCAAATGGAGAGCAAAAATAAATAAATAAAAAGCAGGAGTTGCAATTCTCACACTTAATAAAATAGATTTCAAAGCTACAAGGATGCAAGGGTAAAAGGATTAATGCAACAATAAGAGATCTTAACACCCAGATACATAAGACACACAATGAGATTTAGATTCAACGAGACAACAAATTGATAACGGTATCCAGGACTTGAACTCAGAGCCAGAACAAATAAACACAATAGAGGTCTCCATTTTAAACACATAAAATATGCATTAACCACTGTAAACACTCAAAATATTGATCGGCCATTATTGAAACCCATTTTAGGAATGAAGTAATATTCCTTTTTCCCTCTTTTTCTTTTTTTCCCCTTCTTCTTCTAAAAAAAAAATAAAAGAAGAAACCTGTATTTATGAAAGCTGGTGGAGGTCCTGACGTAACCACCATTAGCTGAGAAGAAACATTTAAACCCTACTTCCAGGGGAAGCTCAAGCAGGCTGGATGTGTCCCCTTATGGATGATGCTTCCCAGCCCCTTTCTCTTCCCAGCTCATCCCTGGATCTCTGTGTGACAATTTCTCAACAGTGAAACTTATTTGATATAGTGTTGTCTTTACTTTTCTCATATTTTCTGTTCTCACATTCCTATCATGATGTGAGGTTAAGAAACTCACCTGCCACGTGGCACATTAGAGCGTAACGTCTCTCGTGGACAGAACATTGGCGAAGGAAATCCCAGGTTGAGCATCCCACATAGCTGACAGTGACCACTAGGGGTCAACGTCCCCTTCACAGTCCTGTGTCGGATCCTCATCTGAGTGACTTTATTAGCAACTTTTCTCTAGAATTATCTTTAAAAATATTTCTGTCATTTTCCATGCAGATATAACCTATTTTCCTAGAGAATAGACAGAGCAGAATACGGAATATGTTACATGTCTCCTGGTTTTGCAAGTTTGTGACTTTCTCACCCTCTATTTTCTGATATGTGCAGACCACTAGGCAGAGTTTTTCCACTGGTGTGACCAGCATTCTGAATATCAAATATAGTTGACATTCTCCATATAACACTTTGTGGCAAAAAGATACCACATTATATTGAGAGCTAAGGCCACGTGAGGTAAGGGCTAGTCACGCACACCCACATTTATTTAATAAACTGTTCTCTTTTTAAATTTTTTTTCTTGTTTTTTAAATAGAGATGGGGTGTCACCACGTTGGGCAGGCTGGTATGGAACTCCTGACCTCAGGTGATCCACCCATCTGGCCTCACAAAGTGCTGGGATTACAGGCGTGAGCCACCGCACCCGACATAAACTATGTTCTTTCTAACAGCCACAAGACTTTTCTTTTTCTGTGGCAACTAACCCGAGACAAGCAAGATTAGAGGATCGCAGATCACAGAACGCCAGGAGCTGGCTGACTGTGCCCCTGTTCCACCAGCTGTAAACAGAGCTTTGATTGGACAAGAGACCAATTTCAGCGACTTTCTCCTGATTAGAGACACTGACCATGACCTGGTCCTGGCTGGTTACAGAGGCTGTGCACTCCTTGTCTTTGTGCCTCTGCACTTTTAAAAACCTTCTTATGTACAGAACCCAATTTTAATGCATTTAGATGTGAAGTTCTCACCCCGAAGCAAACATGGAATGCACGTAATGTGTGTGTTTGCTAATCACACAGCTTAGCCTGGCCCATCTGTGAACATTTATAGCTCCTTCTGTGGCCTGTGAGTTGCACGCTTGGCCAGTCTATTCAGCATGAATCCATTTCTCAGCTTTCCCTTCCTTGAAGGAGGGGGAGTCTCCTTCACAGTCTCTGCGGGAGGCTTTGCTTCCCAGCCTGTTAGGCTCAAACCTTCACTAGAAATAAAGTCTCATTTGTGACGTTATAGATTGTGTGATTTATCAGTTAACAACACAGGTTGGTGGGAACACTTGCCTAGTAATTACCATGAATGTCAGGACAGACATAGGTAGAATGAGGGTGCAAGTTCCCGGGGGCCACACACCCCTCACTCTTGTGGAATTTCCATCCAGAAATCTCCAGGTTCTCCAGGTGGAGATCAAAGCAGATTCCCTCATGGCTCTATCATCAGAAGGAGTGGTCTCTGAGAAGTATACTGAAAACCTTCTCTACACAGACCCTGCAGGGTTAGGACTCCTGAAGATCTTCATTGCATAAAGGGGAAGGAATCTCCATCCCAGACAGCTTCCTCACAGCCTTTCTGTATTAAATAAAGGGCACAGTGAATTAGACGCAAAAATAACCTAGGGATGCTGAAGCCAGGAGAAGGAGTAGAGGGTGAAGGAAAATTAGCTGCCCCACTAGAGACACCCTAAAAAGAACACAGCCTCCACAAAGGACATGAAGAAAACATTGAAATTTAATTTTAAGAACATGTAATACCCATTCCTTCCCCAGCCATTCTTCCTAACGAGTATGATAACGCTGGGTAGAGGTGAAATCGTGGCAATGCACAGTCTCTTAAGGAGGTGAATTTAGGGAACCAAAGGCGGTGAGAGAGAAAAAGTCAAGGACAGAGGAACAATTTGAAGCTTCTGACACCAGCAGCTTCAGGCCCCAGGTCATGGCCTCATTTATTGGCCTTAGAGTCACACCTTATGGGGCATCTTCAGGCTTCCCAGGTGAAAATGGGCAGAAACAAGGTGAAGACACTTCCCAAGTCTCCAATTGTAATGAGCTTCCATACGTCTGTTTGCAAAAGGGAAAAGCGACAAACCACAATCAGGTCTAGGGTCAGTGGTGGGAGCAATCTTTTTTTTGGTCAAGATACCAGAAAACAGGTCCAACTTGAGGTCCATTAATGTGCAACTATGCCACTGTGTGTGTGTGTGTGTGTGTGAGAGAGAGAGAGAGAGACAGAGAGAGAGAGAGTATAAAGTTAAATAATCTGATCTGATCTTCAACCACAGAATTTTACAAAATAAAAGAGACTCCCCCAAAGTCCGCATGACTTCCTGGATTCGCCATGTGTTTGGACCGCATCGGCGCAAGTGCATCTGGAGCTCCTGGGGAGCAGCTCCCTGGTGGCCGTAGTGATTCGTTGCTTGCTGTGCTGAGGTCTCCCTGTAGGATGTGATGGGGTCACTGAGGCCTGCTTCCTGTTGTGAGACGTGGCATCATCAGCACATGGTGATGCTGAAGGAGCATCTGAGCCAGGGCACAGCCACTTCTTACCGGGCTAGAGACGCTGGAAGGAAAATCCTCTGTGGGCCCAACGGGAACCTCCCTGCAATGCAGAAGCTGAGCTGCAGGGGGAGCTCGGGATCCACCCAGCACAGGCTCCAGCCCCGGAGCAGCTGCACAGCACACTGGGGAGAAGGTTCCTCTTTGGGATTGAATCATACTTATTTTAAAGCGATGTTTATATAGACATTTAAATAAGAATGTAGCAAGGAGTACTGATGTGGATTTAAACATCCTGTGGTGTTTGTAGTATTTACTTAGCCCAACAAGTCAGTAGGAACCACATTTTAAAAGATAAATTTTTACACCTTTCAGATATATCTATAGTTCAAAATTGAATGCGGTGATTTTATTAATCCAATGGGTCCAAATATTAGGAGACACACTGGTCTAGTGTGTCTAGACTTGCAGACATAAGTGTCAAGTGGCTAGACTTGCAGAGGTCAAGGCCAGGAACAGTTCAGGTTGTCAGTGTGCCGTTTGAACAAGGGATCACTCTGAGGACCATGCCCTGTCCTCATGGACTTCTCAGCAGCCAGTAGACAGGGGTCATTAAACACAGGTCAGAACATGCGGCTCAGCATCCCACTGTTGCATGGCCCAGGTGTCTCTCAGGCCGGGATGGGCTCGATCTATGAAACACCTGGCTCATGAATATGTAAATACTCTGGTGTCTAATGCAGTAAATACAGATCTGTCCTTGCCCTGGGGGTATCTCAGCACAGCCACATCCCTCCCCTACGGAAGCCACCAGAGCACAGAACCTCACCATGGACTGGACCTGGAGGATCTTCCTGTTGGTGGCAACAGCTACAGGTAAGAGAATCCCTGGTCCCAGGGCTAAGGATGGAATCAGGTCTAATAGACGGGGATTGCATCCACTGCTGTGTCTTCCCCACAGGTGCCCACTCCCAGGTGCAGCTGGTGCAGTCTGGGGCTGAGGTGAAGAAGCCTGGGGCCTCCGTGAAGGTCTCCTGCAAGGCTTCTGGATACACCTTCACCAGCTACTATATGCACTGGGTGCGACAGGCCCCTGGACAAGGGCTCGAGTGGATGGGACGTATTGATCCTGAAGATGGTAGTACAAGCTACGCACAGAAGTTCCAGGGCAGAGTCACCATGACCGCAGACACATCCACGAGCACAGCCTACATGGAGCTGAGCAGCCTGAGACCTGAGGACACGGCCGTGTATTACTGTGCGAGAGACACAGTGTGAAAACCACATCCTGAGAGTGTCAGAAACCCCAGGGAGGAGGCAGCTGTGCCAGCTATGAGGATATGACAGGATTTATGAGGTTTAACGTTTTCTAGCAAATGGGTTAAGAAATTGAAAGAAAAAGGCAATAGAAAGTTGTAGGCTCTCTAATGATACAGAAAATTGTTTTCAAGTCTCACCCTATCAACAAAATTCAGAGTGGGAAAGGCAGCAATCAATGAAGCTGATACAAACATTCCCATGGAGGTTTCGTGGGGACAGAAGTTTAAAACTCAGTGTATAAATCAGCAGGACTGCCTGATCACAGGCTAAGACTAAATATAATTTCTAAGAAATTGCCGAATGTCTTCCAAAGGGTCTTGGTATTCTTTTTGCATAACATTTATTTTAAAGCAATTTTAAGATTACAGTAGATGTACAAAAAAAGAGAGAGAGCTGCCACGTACCCCTGCCGAACACATACACAGCCTTCCCCGATGCCAACACCCTGCAGCAGAGTCAGAGCCCTGTTACAATGGAGGAATCTACATGGACACATTTGTTCTTTCCTTTCCTGCTGGTTCCCTGGTTCAACAGGGCTAAATTATTCTGAAGCACCACGGGTTCTTCAAGTGGGTTACTGGGAATGACGCCACTTAGAGGGAAAGCAGGTGAGGCCATTCCTTTTTGCACTCTTTCCTCAGGAATCCATAAAATGTGATTGACTGAGAGCTCCTCTGTCTCCTGCTTTTCTACGCCCCTTCCCAGAGTCAAGTTCTTCAAGCATGTAGAGGCAGGTCCATTTCTTAAAAATGCCAGAAGCTTCTGGCGAATTCCATAATGCACGTCCTTTAAAGAGAAGTGGAAACTTTGGGCATGAGGGACTTCATGAATGATGCCCTGGAGTCAGATCAAACACAGTGAAAGCTCTCGGGGGCATTTCTGGAGGAGGCCCTTTCTGCAGGAAGTGAGCACACACGCAGGGGATCCAGGCAGGAAGAATAGCTTCCCTTCACACCGCAGTGTGTCACCTGAGGAAAGCCCTCTCGGGGTTGGGCACTGGTCCCCCTTGCTGGCTGCACCTTAGGCAGACGCCTGAGCCTGATTCGTCTTGCAGAGGGAGAGCCTCGGTGGGGCCATAGGTTATAAAAATGCCCATCGCTCTCCAGCTGAGCAAGTCCATCTGCTTTCTTGTCGGTGTCAACCCCATGATGGGCTCTGGAAGGTGACATGTTGCACACGAACCTCCTCCCACTAATTATCCACTACCATATGCTGCACTGAAACGTAACAATTACAATAATTACATAATCATAATCACGATGATACCTGGCTATTGCATCTCCTTAGGATCCTTTACCGCTGCACACACAGATCCAGTGCTCCTGTGAACACACTGGACTCCGGGATACTGCAAATCTGCATCTATCTTCAGCAGACACGTAAGTCTGCAGTTTCTTATCCTATGACACATTTGACAGTGTTTGAAGTCAAAGTTGTGCCGAGTATCTGAGTGTATCCTCAGGGAAGATCTCAGCAATGTTTGCTTGTTATATGAGAACGTTTCCAGGAGAACTGTCCCAGGGAGTCACGAGGTTCCTCTGGAACCACTGGCCCCTGCAGGAGATGAGACGGAGGCAGGAGAATCAAGAGCAGGTAGCAACTCTGTTAGCAGGGGTCTCCAGATGCTTTCCTAGACACGGCGAGCCTTCGCCCACTTTCCGCCCTGCACAGGGAGTGTGCAGGGGCACACTGAGGTGACCTGTCCCAGGGGTGTGCAGGGACAAAGTGGAAACCTGAGCTCGGTGCCCAGGAAGTTATGAACTCCAGCTCTGAGAATGCATAGCCTGCATTTTCTCTCTTACGTGAACACGTTGCCTTATTGTTAAGAAGAGGTGATTCCAGCTCTAGGTTCACAGATCACGGGCAGATGTGCCTTTTCCTCAGGCCAACCTCTAAGGTCACACATCACAGGCAGATGTGCCTTTTCCTCGGGCCAGCCTCTAAGGTCACAGATCACAGGCAGATGTGCCTTTTCCTCGGGCCAGGCTCTAAGGTCACACATCACAGGCAGATGTGCCTTTTCCTCGGGCCAGCCTCTAAGGTCACACATCACAGGCAGATGTGCCTTTTCCTCGGGCCAGGCTCTAAGGTCACAGATCACAGGCAGATGTGCCTTTTCCTCGGGCCAGCCTCTAAGGTCACACATCACAGGCAGATGTGCCTTTTCCTCGGGCCAGCCTCTAAGGTCACAGATCACAGGCAGATGTGCCTTTTCCTCAGGCCAGGCTCTAAGGTCACACATCACAGGCAGATGTGCATTTTCATTGGGTCAGGCTCTAAGGTCACAGATAACAGGCAGATGTGCCCTTTCCTCGGGCCAGGCTCTAAGGTCACACATCACAGGCAGATGTGCCTTTTCCTCGGGCCAGCCTCTAAGGTCACAGATCACAGGCAGATGTGCCTTTCCTCGGGCCAGGCTCTAAGGTCACAGATCACAGGCAGATGTGCCCTTTCATCGGGCCAGGCTCTAAGGTCACAGATCACAGGCAGATCATTTGCCTAAAGGGTATAAAATACACAGGAAGGTACCATAATAAAGCCAAGTAAAGGACAGGTGGATTCACTACCTTAAACTTGGAGAAGTGTATTTACAAGCACATGATAACACCAAAGAGGGAGGACAGATTAATTCCACCACGGCAATCGGCTTAAGAGAGAAACATTCAGAACGTGGAGAAGCTTCAAACACAAATAGAAACAGAGTTATTTAATTACCAGAGTGCTGGCATGAGGACCCAACCTTACCATCGAAACAATCACAGCTGGTTAAAAAAACGAAAATCTCAACCATTAAAAATCAATGCAAATTATTCTAAGAAAATGCAGTAAATAAAAATTATTGATTGATAAAATGTGCTGCTGAAGACAGAATTATTCTTTCTCCCACAATGCCAGTGTTGCAATTCTAAGCCCAACGTGATGGTGTTAGGAGGTATAAATGTTGCCAAGTTCTTATCCAGGTTACTACAAAATTGTGGTTGACACAAATATCTTTATGGAATTCTTGCATCGGATAATTATTTTATTTTATGACATTTTGATTTTTTGTAGATGATTATACTCTACCTTTTCTAGGCCTTTCTTGTGGGCAATCGCATGAATCTAATCAACGAGACTCAGTGACTTGAACCTCATTCTTGCAGTGGCTGCCAGAATTAAAGAGCATTTCTGCCGCAGCCATCGGACACTCAGATTCCCACAGGGACACCTTGGTTTTGTTTCCTGCTTGCCTTTGGGCCTTATCCTTGTGCTAACCTGAGAGATTCTTTATCTTTCAGCTCCCCCAGGTCATTCTAGAGCCACATGGACATGGGAATTGTCAGCCTGGCAGGAAGGGTTGACTGAATGTGATATTCTCTGTCCTTCTGGGGAAGCCAAACCCCAGCAGGCATCACAGTCCTGAGTCAGGGTGTGCCCTTCCAGTGTCCCTGTTTCCCCTGCAGGTGAGATGCTGATCCATGCATCTTATTCCCATTCCTGGGAAGAGTCTCTTCACTGCTCCCCAGATGTTCCTTCAGCAGCCACTGTGTCTTCCCACTGATTTCTTCAGTTTCCTCTCTGCTACCTTTTCCTTTAGAATAAAGCTGTTATTCCTCAGGGAAGACGGGAGGTGGGTCTGGAAACAGCCTTGGTGGATTCCTCTCTCCCCTCCTAGTTCTTATTGCTCTCTCCGGTGTCTCTGGAACAGTGGTTTTGGTGCTTCACCTCCTCTGATAATTTCTCTTGCAATGTAGTGGTGACACAGAGTGTGTTGGATGCATTTCAGCTGTAGTTGCTGTTTTGTTTTCCCAGACAGAACTGTCCCATTTTCTGATCTTTCCCCAGTACTGAGGAAAAAGACTTCAGTAGCAGGAGGAATTCCTCAACTGTATACAGTCTGATAATTTAAAGAATAATTCATCTATCACACTCAAATTTAGACCACCCAATGAACATGTCTACTTTAATCTTGTATTACCTTAAATGACATTTGGCAGCCTCTGCCCCAGATACGATTATTCTCTGCTCCTGTTTTTTTCCCTCCAAGTCCTCATCTCTCTTCAGATTTCAGACATCTTGTTTGTCCTGTAACATAAACATCTGGTACATTTAAGGGCTAATTTGCAGATGACTAAATTTCGTAGATGTTGTAAGAATAATAACGTATTTTTATAGGATGCCTACATCTCCAAGCTGAGTAGCACATTTACGTGTAATACTCAGAAACTGGAAAACACACAAATATCGAGAATATACACAGATAAACAGTAATGACATGCTAATTTGCTCCAATAACATCCATCATTAGAATAGACACACTGTTGAGGGTCAACATTGTTGTATCACAAGATGAGTGAGAAGCCACACAGATAAAACACATACTATATAATTTCTGTATAATAAATTTTTGAAAATCAAAACTAAAGTAATACATATGAAATATTGATTCAAAATATGGTGAGGGAAGAATTGGGAAGGAGGAATTGCAGAGGAGCACGAGGAAACTTGTAAGTGTGGTTTGTTTGTTTATTATCTGGATGGTTCTGGTGGATGCCCAGGTGAGAACCAGTGGAATCACGTTCCATTTTGTTTGTTTTTCTCCTTAAACAGGTGGTCTCACTCTGTGACCCAGGCTGGACTGCAGTGGTGGGATCGTAGTTCAATGTAGCCTCCAACTTCTGATCCCAACAATCCTTTTGCATCTGCCATCTAAATAGCTGAAAATACAGGTTTGTGCCACCGAGCTCGGCTTGCGAACTTACTAAACAGCACACTTTATGCAATATTTACGTACAGCAATAATGTCTCAAGAAGAGTGTCACAAACAAGTGAATGGATAATTAGTTCAGTATGGCTTGATGGAAAAATAGACATTAACATGAAGAAAGTCTAACATGTATGAAAATACATCTGCATAAAATGTGCTTCTCTTTACACTCATTATGTAAACAATAGCGCGCACACATCACACCACACTTTCATTACAAGAAGAAAGTTCTGAAAATGTCACTAGGGGTGACCCACCGTGTGCTGGGCATGGCTAAAGGAGAAGTCGGGCCCAGTGGTGAGAAGCACAGGCACAGAGACCTGTGCTCACCCTGACCACATGTGAGCTCCTGTAACACTGTACCCGCCATCTGTGCTTCTGCTGGTAATTTTACATCTGTAACGTGGGAATAACATTGATACTACACAGTATTTTCATAGGTCCATTGCAACACAATAAAACTATATTTAAATTAAAAATGCATATACAGTTATAGTTTTGAAGAATGTATCACAGAACAAAGTTTTAATAAGAAACTACATTTGCCAAAATTTTATCAATATCTCCAAACTCCCTCAGGACACTCTCACCTGCTCTGGGCCCTGCCCTCTCCTCAGGCGTCCCACCCCAGAACTTGCTATATAGCAGGAGACATGCAAATAGGGCCCTCCCTCTGCTGATGAAAAGCAGCCCAGCCCTGACCCTGCAGCTCTGGGAGAGGAGCCCCATCCCCAGGATTCACAGGTGTTTCCACTGAATTTTCACGGCTGAAAAAGGAGACTCGCCATGGAGTTTGGACTTTGCTGGGTTTTCCTTGTTGCCATTTTAGAAGGTGATTCATGGAAAACTAGAGAGACTGAATGTGTGTGGACATGAGTGAGAGAAACGGTGGATGTGGGTGGCACTTTCTGACCAGGATGTCTCTGTGTTTGCAGGTGTCCAGTGTGAGGTGCAGCTGGTGGAGTCTGGGGGAGGCTTGGTTCAGCCCGGGGGGTCCCTGAGACTCTCCTGTGCAGCTTCTGGATTCACGTTCAGTGACTATGGCATGAACTGGTTTCGACAGGCTCCGGGGAAGGGGCTGGAGTGGGTCTCATACATTAGATATGATGGTGGTAGCACAAACTACGCAGACTCCGTGAAGGGCCGATTCACCATCTCCAGAGACAACGCCAAGAACTCGCTGTATCTGCAGATGAACAGCCTGAGAGCCGAGGACACGGCCGTGTATTACTGTGCGGGACACAGTGAGGGGAGGTCAGTGTGAGCCCGGACACAAACCTCCTGCAGGGGAGCCTGGAACCAGCAGGGGGCGATGGGGATACACAGAGGACGGGGCAGCCCAGGGCAGGTGCAGGTGCAGGTCAAGGGCTGCTCTCCTTCAGGGCCTGTGGCTTCCTCTGCATCTAACGTTCCCTGGGAGGATCTGTGTATTTACAGTTATGTCCCTGCTACTGAGGCTTCTACGTTTGTGAAGTTTATAACTATAGGAGCAGCCATGACCAATTGCCCCAAGGCAGGTGCCACTGATGGAGAAAGAAAAGTGTGCAGGCAGCCAGGTGAGGCTGTGGACACTGTCGGCCCAGGATTCAAGTTTCACAAGCAGTGAATAAAAAATGGAGAGTTCAATGGGGCTCCCTAACTACCACGAGGTCCACACTTAGTCCAGTATGTTTAGCAGGCCCCCCTGGGCTATAGGTGTCCATCCGGGATCAGCCGTGTGCCCCGCAGCCACCGAGCCTTTTCATCCCTGCTGTGCTCAGTCACTGTCTGCGAGGAGCTCCCAGGACGTGTGTGTTTGGCTCAGACCCGGTGATGGACGTCAGAGAGCAGCAGCCGGTGCCAGGTCATGGGCTCCTAATGTTGGAGGGATGGGAGGAGCATTCTCAGTGACAGGACTCTTTTTATGGATTTTTTTCTAGAAACCACGAGTTTACTTGCTTCTCTCAGGGGACGTAGAGAAGCAGGCACACGGTCGGCAAATAATGACAATCTCTACAATGACCACAAATGGGTTCTTCCTTAATTCTGTGCAGGATCCAACCATCGAGTTGCTTTTCTCATGAGGAATTGTTGCATCTACAGTGAGTCCATATGTTTCTCATATTCTTTGGTTTCTGTCCATGTACAGAGACTTAGAGTAGAGTAAGTTTGGACCTTTCCACACACTAAGCCTCACGTCCCCACAGAAAGAGCAGAGTCTTTCACTATCCCTGAGTCTGGGGTAGGGGCTGGTCCTGCACACTCAGAGCCTGCAGAGACTGTCAAGTCAGGTTTATAGACTCAGGGGTTTTCTCCTTCAGGAGGGGTGACCTCCACTGCCTCTGATTTATGCTGAAAATTACCTGTGATTTCAGAGTTAACACGCTATTAGGGTATCATGCTTCACTTCTATTCTGAAAATCACCCTCTTTATACTAAAATAAAATAGTTCAATGTTCATTCCTCTGACAGGAGTTTTTTTTTTAAATTTGGTTACAAGTTTACTATTTATGTGCCTTAATTTAATCTTAAAATCTACTGAATTGTCTAGAAATCTCACAAATTGGATAAAAGTAAATTCTTCATTCTTACCAAAACGTGTGTATGTAGGAACTTCAGTGTATTGTCCAGAACCCGTGCACACTGACCACTGTGGGTCATGGTCATTTACTGGCCTGGTGCAGCCTCCCAGGCCCCTCCCTCACCTGTGCTGTCTCTGGATTCTCCATCACAACCAGCACTTCCTGCTGCAGCTGGATCCGCCAGTCCTCAGGAAAGGGAGTGGATCGGGGCATAGGTCACGAGGGAGCACATGTTCTAACCCCTCCTCAGGAGCTCAGTCACCATCTCCAGATCCATGTCCAAAAACCAAATGTTCTTGCCACTGAGCTCTGTGACCAACAATGCCACAGCCTGTATTACTGTGAGGGACACACATAGAAGATGTGAGTGTGACCCCAGACACAAACTTCCCTGGAGAGGGGCCCAGGACCACCAAGGGCACTCAGGCTCCATGAAGACAGGGCCCAAGCTGGAGAATGGGTTTCCTGTCACCCTCACATTTCACCTCATGATAATCTACACTATGGCTATGCTGAGTTGTAATATGCATAGTACAACTAGAAAATGGAATTTATATAGAGGTATAATCATATTTAGTGTATCAATTTGTTGTTTCCACCTTATGTGCCCCTTAAAGACGGCATCTCCCACCTTATTCAAGGACCTTATAAATTATAATACTTTATGTCAGATGTGCCTCCTTCTCTGTGTTTCTCCTGTCTGTATTCTCTCTCTCTGCATGTCTCACACACACACACACACACACACACACACACACACACACACACACACACACAGTGGTTGGCAGTTTATAGGCTGGTTAGGAATATTTTACCATATGCTTTTAAAATAGTAGTTTCATAATATTTGCCTTTAATTTTTCAAAAAAATTAAATCCAAATGCCATCGTTTTTTAATGTAATTTTTAAAAATTTAAATTATTAATTTTTGTTTTCATCAATCCTTATATGTGTACTTTTGTATTCTTTCATATTATCAGGTGTCTGCACATAATTAAATATGTCCAACTGTCCACTTGAATTTATGTGAATCAGATCCAGTGAGCAAAATTAAGGAGCCACTCTCCTGACCCTTCCCCACAGCTGCAGGTTCCTGGAGACAGAGCAAGTGCCATGACCTCGCAGTAGAACACGACCCCCAAAGGTGACCTTGGACCTTGAGTTCCAGCACATCCTGGGAATCCAAGTGGATGTTTGTGAAAGAAATAGTGGCTGTGTGACAGTTTTGAACCAGAAAGCCTCTAGCAGGAGATGCAGCTTACAGAGCTTGGGGGAGACTTGGTACAGCTTAGAGGGGCCCCTGAGGCTCTCCTGTGCAGCCTCTTGATTCACCTGTAGCTATGAGAGTCACTGGGTTTGCCAGGCCTCAGGGAAGGGGCTGGAGTGGGTCGCAGTTACCTGGGGTGGGAAAAGTCATCAATACGAAGCTGACTATGTTAGGGGCAGACTCACCAATTCCAGAGACAACACCCAGTTCATGCTGTACATGCAAATGAGCAGCCTGAGAACCAAGAATAGGGCAGTGGGTAACTGTGCAGGAGACATCGTGATGAGACGTCCAGACTGCCCCGCAGGACACAGGAGGCGGCTTGGCTGCAGGGGGCGCTCAGCCCCCACAGAAGACAGGAGCAGCCCAGGGGCAGGGGCAGGTGGAGGCCAAGGGCTGCTAGCCTGTCAGGGTCTGTGGTTTTGCATCAAAAGCCTTCTCCTGGGAGCCGCTCTGTATTTATGATTCTCTGACTACCACTGAGGCCTCTGGATTGGAAAAGTTCATTACTAGAAAATATAAAATAAAACATTCTCGGATGCCCCTAAGGACCGCATCACTAATGGAGGCAGATGTCACAGGAGGCTGAGGGGCTATGGAATCTGTGGGATGTGGGTGCAGAACTGATGACAAAGACATAAAAATCAGCGGAGTCTGATGAAACCTCCTAATTACCTGTGATCCACTCTAAGTCCAGTAAAGCCGCTGATCCTCCCTGAGCCAAACCCGCCCATCAGGGGTCAGTCCCGGGTCCCAGCAGCAGACGCGCCTCAGTGTCTCCACTGTGTGTAGTCACTGCCTGGAGGAGCTCCCAGGACACATGTCTTTGCATTTACCAGGTCGTGGGTGTAACAGATCAACTCTGGGCGCCTGGTCTATGGGTTCCCTGATGGTGGAGAAGCGGGAGGTGCAGTCCCAGGGCCAACACACCGTCCATGTATTTTTATATGGAAACCATGATTTTTCTTGCTTCTCTCAGATGACGTAGAGGAGCAAGAAGACCGTCTTCAAACAACTGCAGTGTCCACATTTCTCCTGACTAACTGCGTTATGTCTGAGTCTGAGTGTGGGTTTAGCAGAGCATGGGCTTTATCGTAAGAAACTGCTCAATCCCAGCTGAAGTCACGTGGTTCTCAGTCCTTGGTTTTCATTCCGTTTCAGAGATCCTGAGTAGAGCCAATTTGATCCTTTCCACACGCTAAACCTCACCTTCCTCAGATAAAAAGAAGAGATTTTTCCGACTGTGTCTGAGGTGGGAGCTGCTTCTCCACACCTTAGAGCTTGCAGAGACCCCTGAGGGCAGCTTTATGCAGTCAGGTGTGTCTCCATGTGGGGGAGCTCAGCTGCCAGTGATTCTGCTCAGTTAGAACTGTGGGTTCAGAATTAGAACTTTTAAATTATTATGCCTCAAAAATTACTGTCATTATAGATAGAAATAATAATACAACACCAATTGTTGTCACATTTATTATTATTATTGGAGTTTACCTTGGAGGACAAAATTGCTACCATAAATCTAGTGTCAGAATCTCCTGAAATGGTCTAGAACACTTGCAAACTGCACAGAAGCAGATTCTTCTTTTTTTCTATGCTGCTGTGTTTTAAATTGTTGATAGTTTGTCCAGAACCCATGAGCACCAACAACTGTGTGTTTCATGCCCCTTCTTGGGTTCTGTGACAAGGAATTCCATTAGGACCTGGCAGACTGAGACAACTTGGAACAATGTCAGAGCAATCATCTGTAACTGCTTCTAAATTTCAGCTTTATCAATTCTGACGCTTTCTCTATTATTTCAGATCTTGGTTATTAAAGGATTCTCGCTTCTTCTCTTAATCTAGCTAAGAATTTGTCTATTTTATTTTATTTGGAAAGAAACTCCTAGATTTGTTTATTTTTCTGTAGCCTCATAAAGTCTCTTTTTCACTTATTTCATTTACTCTAAAACCTCATAAGCACATTGACTACATGCAGATAGAGAACTTGTTTGTAAATGCCATATTTTTGTTAGACTCAGCTGAGCATGTCAGGAAGCCCCTTGAGGGTTTTAGGGACTGAGTGTGACTCCCACACTGGACAAGAATGAGAACCTCCAAGCTTTGGGGATGGGAGACAGGCCGGGCAGTGTGAGGGAGGAGGATGGACAGAAGGTCCAGTGTTTCTTCCCCTGGTGGCACCACTTATGTCCGTCCTCACTCTGAGATTCAGTCATTTCTGTCCAGGTGGGAACATCAGTTAACTTCATCTTTGTTAGATGGATAAGAGCCAAAGACAGAGGCTTGTCAGTCGCTGTTTCTGTGCCTGCTCCCTTGGGAATGTCCACATTTCTTTTCTTTTTTTTTTTTTTTTTTTTTTTTTTTTTACCAATCAGTTTGAGCTTTATGAGGTTGCTCAGGTTAGCCTTGAACTGATGAACTCGCCTTCGCGAGCGCCATGACCTCCGGCGGGAGCCACTTTTGACCCCGTCCATATTTCTTATGCTCTGTCCTGGGTCTATACCCCGATGGCTCCCCTGATCCACGACACCACCTGTGCCTTTGCATGGCCCCTGCCCACACCCTCCGTGAAACTTCCTCCTGGCTCAGGAAGAGTCCCCTGCCTTGTTTTTCTCCTGCTGCTGATCCACATTCTTATCCATCCGCAGGCTCTCAGCAGCGCCTCCCATCCACGCTGACCCTACATGGGGTCAGACCTTGTCCACCACTTCCTCTCTCCTTCCTTCTGAGCCTTTTATCCCAGCAGCCTGTTTACATCTCACCTGGACTTGTGTACAGGAAAGGTTTACCGAGCAGGCTTGGGGTGTTCAAACCCTGAACATTCCCGAAAATGTCCTTTCTCAAGCCAGGTCCGCATCCAGCTCCTGGGAGATGATATCTGTTTTTCTGGCATACTCTCCTGGTAATATTTTTGAAGCCAATTTATTAAGGAAACGCTTACATCTATAAAACTATACATTAATTAACATACCCCATTGAGTTTGGCATAAGTGTATACCTGCAAAGTTATTACCACCATCAAGGTCGTAACCACAGCAATCACTTCCAAAGCATTCCTGTATTCCTATTATTATTATTATTATTAAAAATTGTGTGTGTGTGCGTGTGTGTGTGTGTGTGTGTATCCTGGGTGCACAGTACCCTAGCTGTTCCATAATGACTTATGGTGAGTACCCATCATTGCTGAAGGAGCTCTTGTCTGAGTGCTGGAGGTCAGGTATGCAGGTGCCACACACATCTGTGAAGGGCCTCAATAAACAGCACTGGGCACCAGCACTCAGGTGAGCTTCCCTGTGAACCATGCCTCACATGTGCTGTCATTCATCACCACTGGGAGAAATGGGGACAAGAGACTTCTTAGAAAAAGAACACCTGGGAGCTCATGCCAGAATCTCAGAACCTTCCTCCTGGAGCCTTTGCTCATTAAAATTCATATTCCTCTGCTAGAGTAAAGCTGTACCTATGAGAATAACAGCTTGTCCTGGGTCCTTTATTTGTACCCATTATGGGTCCTGAGGATGGTTTTGGGACACTCAGCACAATTACATCAGAGGTGGAAATTCCTAGAAAGACCGTGATGACTGACACATGGCTAGAGCCTTGTTTATAATGTCAAAGGATGAGAAAGGGTGGCATAAAAGACATCCAATACCTGGATGGTTACTGAGTCACATGGCATGAGATGGTGTGTGCGCAACAGTAAGGAGCAGGAAGAAAAGGGAATCCATGGAAATTTGAAATGATAGACACAGCTCCCTAGGAGGTGATCCCCAAATAAGGAAAAGTAAAATAAAGGAGAACAACCTGACTATGCAACTCATATCTGTGGCAGCTAAAGTGAAATACAAAGATGCCGCATCCAGCCCTGCACTGTGGTGCCCTGTGAGCCAAGGCGGCTAGACTCCCCTCCACCACCACCGAATACAGTTGTCCAGAAGAGAAGCACACAACACACAGTAGCCACACAGAAGGTAGCCCAGGGGTTGGGCTGGGAAGGGGAACCCAGTAGAGACATAGAACAGGGAAAACAGTGTGGAAAGTGGCATCGTTTTGTGATACCATTAATATCATTAATTACTCTCATCAGAACGTGAACAACATTAGCCAATGGACTGCGACTGGCTGACACAGCAGATTCTGTTTGGCTTCTTGTGCTGCAGAAAAAAGGGGCATGTCTGAGAGGAGGCTGGATCCACAGCTCAAAACAGTAACATCACACATGACTTTAGCTGATCCCAACCTCCCGTGGGATGCTTTGGATGGGACATCTTTCCCGGTGCACTGGATCCCAGATTGTGTAATTTCTCTGCCCTGAGGATGAGTCTGCTTTTCGCTTCCTTGAAATACAAAGTGGGCTCTGCAGATGGGGAGGCCAATGCTGCACATTCTGCATCACCTGCTGCTGGGAGTTTCTGGTGATGCTGATGGTCATTGCTTTGCCTGCACCTTACACAGGTCATGGCCTGTGCTGTGGTGAAGAGAAGTCCTTTTGCTCTGCTCCCCAGGTGCAATTCTTGTGAATAACCTTGCAAACATTTTAGAACCTGTGCAGTTTCTGTCACCTTGGCTTTCCATTTGGATCAGAAGATGCTAAGGAAATAAGTGTGGTTCACAGGAAAATGGGGAAGACACAGGGGAGAGTTAAGGGCCTCCACGCCATGTGGGTATCATAAAATAAAAGGCAAAGAATGAAAGAACTCGACGAGAAGGAGCTGGGGTTGACACAAAGGACTTAAAACAGCACTGCCAGGAGTGGGTGTAGTGATGGGAATCCCTTCAGTTCCATCAGCAATTCAGAGACCCAAACAAGTCTCCCTATTTATGTTGAATTGGCAGAGTGTAAAATCTAGAAGACAAAATGACCAGGAAAGATGTGTGATTTTGCATGGGTGAAGGTCTGACAAGTTAATGAAGCTGAGGACTGTTGTGGGCCTGGGGTTGTCCTGCCCTTACTGTGTGCCCAGGACAGAGTCACAGTCATGGGAAATTGCCAGGGAATAGAGTAGTTTTTGGTTGTTCTTGTTATCAGGCATATGTGCATTTTAATTTTCTCTTCATGGCCTCTGGTTTTACTTCTAATTTTTAAATGCGCATAGTTTCATCTAGATTTGCCAGTTTCTTGATGTCACAGAGAGGAGTGGAAGAAGGGATGCCCTTGTATGGCTCTTCCTGAAGCACGGACAGAGTGGGAGGGGCACGAGGAGCATGTAAGGAATTATTCAGACCTTGTTCTGCCTCTCCCCGGAGGAACAGTCGGCCTTTTGTCTGCAATCGCGTTTCTGGGTTATAAACCCTGTAGACTCTTCCCTTCAGGCCAGGGTGTCAACTATGCAAATTCAAGTGGGGGCTCCCCTCTTAAACCCAGGGCTCCCCTCCACAGTGCGTCTCCCTCACCGCCCAGCTGGGATGTCAGGGCTTCCTTTCCTGTCCTCCTCCAGGATGGGGTCAACCACCATCCTCGCCCTCCTCCTCCTGGCTGTTCTCCAAGGTCAGTCCTGCCCAGGGTTTGAGGTCACGGAGAAGAAGGGTTTGAGTGCACAGGGAGTCCCTGATTCAAATGTTCTGTCTCCCACACAGGTGTCTGTGCTGAGGTGCAGCTGGTGCAGTCTGGAGCAGAGGTGAAAAGGCCCGGGGAGTCGCTGAAGATCTCCTGTAGGGCTTCTGGATACAGCTTTAACAGCTACTGGATCAGCTGGGTGCGACAGATGCCCGGAAAAGGCCTGGAGTGTATGGGGAGGATCTATCCTGGTGACTCTGATACCAGATACAGCCCGTCCTTCCAAGGCCACGTCACCATCTCAGCCGACAAGTCCAGCAACACCGCCCACCTGCAGTGGAGCAGCCTGAAGGCCTCGGACGCTGCCATGTATTACTGTGCGAGAGACACAGTGTGAGAAACCAGCACTGGGCCCATCTAAAACCCTCCACAGAGCAGGTGCAGGGTGAGCTGCCAGAGACGCCCTCCCCAGGGCCCTCTCCATTCCCCCCAGGGAGGAATCACTGGCTGTGTCCTCAGGAGCAAGAACCAGATAACAGCATGAGAGGGTTCCCAGCCCCTACGGCAACTGGATGGGGGACCTCTCCTGGCAGTGGATTATTTGAGAAGCTCCCACTGTGTGTTCTAGAAGGTTGCTCATGGCTTATATTACACAGTTAACATCAAAAGCCTCCCTAATAGGCAGCTGTCAAGTATGACAGTCTTTTAATTCATGAAGATTTTACAGTTATCCATTGCTGGCTTGCTCTTCTCCCTCCTGTCCTCTCTCACACCCGCCTTTTATTTCCTGCTCAATTTTCCAGAATCGTTTAATCCCTTTGTGAACTATTAGTGGGTCCTCTTGTTTGGTTGTTTTTGTTGTAGTTTCCTCTCAATAATGTGTAATGAACAGTTCATTTTGCACCATTACAAGTTTTGGGTATAATAAGGACTTCTTTCATGAAAATATGATAAATTCAAATAAACAGATAAAGTTTTAAAAACATATAACCCATCAAAACTGAACCATTAAGAAATAAAAAATCTGGGCTGGGTGTGGCGGATTATGCCTGTAATCCCAGCACTTTGACAGGGAGACAGGTGGATCACCTGAGGTCAGGAGTTTGAGATCAGCCTGGCCAGTGCAGCGAAACTCTGCCTTTACTAAAAATACAGAAATGAGCTGGACATGGTGGCGCTCACCTGTAATCCCAGCTACATGGGAAACTGAGGCATGAGAATCACTTGACCCAGGACGCGGAGGTTGCAATGAACTGAGATCACACCACTGCACTCCAGCCTGTGAGTGAGACTCTGTCTCAAAAAAAAAAAGTGAACAGATCAATGAGTAAAGAGATTGAGTCACTGATTTTTTAAACATCTCAAAGCAAAGAAAAATCAAGAACTTGATGATTTCACTACTGAATTTTATCAAATGTTTAAAAAAAACTAGAATCTCCATTCAAATTTCCAACAAAATAAAGAGGAAATAATACACCTAAACTTACTTTGGAAGGCTCTATGTCCAAAGAAGAGAAAAGACACTACCAGTAAATAAAACTACAGATGAATATCCGTGATTCACAGAGTTTCAAAACCTCTCAAAGTGATGAGGAATAAAATTCAATAGCACATTAAAACGTGATTCACCACGATCAGGTGTGGTTACTTCCACCATGCAATGAAGGTTCAGCCTGCACAACCCAGTGTGATGGATCAAATTAAAACACAGAAGGACTAAAGCTGTATGTTCATGTCGATAGATGCAGAAAGAGCCTCTGACAAAACTCACCAGTCTCATTATAAAAGTCTGAACAAGTTATGCATAAAAGGTATATACCTCAACACAATAGAGGCCACATATAACAAGCCCACATCTAACATGACACTCAACAATGAAAATTTTATTTCCTCTAGGACTACAAAGTAGACAAGATGCTCACTATCTTATTTTATTTATGTATTTATTTTATTTTATGTATTTTATTATCTGTCAATTAAAACTAATAAAATTAATTATAAGTAAACAACTTTAATTATAGACAAGAAATGAATGACAGGAAGGAACAAATAAACATGTTAAATGTCAGGTAAACCTCAACATTTATCTGCCTGATCTTTGTCTCCACATTTCTCAGTAAATAGAGAAAAATCACACAGGATCTCAGGGCAGGAAGTGAATTCTCCAAACCACACTAGGCCCATTTAGCTCCGTGCTAGAATTGATTAAGAGCAATCGAGGCCAGCTGTGAGGAGCATAGTCCCGGATACTGGGACTCACTCATGGCAGATATGAGACCTTAGACACACCACGTAGCCCCTCCATGTGTGGGTTCACTTTTACATCTGTAAATGAAGAAACCACTGACTTCTAAATAACACCATTTGTACACATAAGTAAACATAATGAAAAATGTGATATTTGTTACATGTTTATCTGAACAATTTCACAATAAGAGAGCACATTTTCACAAATACAATAATTGTCATCTAAGTCCCCCAGGACAGTCTCATCTGCTCTGGGCCCTGCCCTCTCCTCAGGCGTCCTGCCCCAGAGCTTGTTATATAGTAACATACATGCAAATAGGGCCCTCCCTCTCCTGATGAAAACCAGCCCAGCCCTGACCCCGCAGCTCTGGGAGAGGAGCCCCAGCCCCAGGATTCCCAGGTGTTTCTATCAGTGATCAGCACTGAGCACAGAGGACTCACCATGGAGTTTGGGCTGAGCTGGGTTTTCCTTGTTGCTATTTTAAAAGGTAATTCATGGAGAAATAGAGAGACTAAGTGTGTGTGGACATGAGTGACAGAAACAGTGGATGTGGGTGGCAGTTTCTGACCAAGATGTCTCTGTGTTTGCAGGTGTCCAGTGTGAGGTGCAGCTGGTGGAGTCTGGGGGAGGCTTGGTTCAGCCTGGGGGGTCCCTGAGACTCTCCTGTGCAGCTACTGGATTCACGTTCAGTGACTACAGGATGTACTGGGTCCACCAGGCTCCGAGTAAGGGGCTGGAGTGGGTGGCCAACATAAAGTATGATGGAGGTGAAAAATACTAAGCAGACTCCGTGAAGGGCCGATTCACCATCTCCAGAGACAACGCCAAGAACTCGCTGTATCTGCAGATGAACAGCCTGAGAGCCGAGGACACGGCCGTTTATTACTGTGTGGGACACAGTGAGGGGAAGTCAGTGTGAGCCCGGACACAAACCTCCTGCAGGGGCGCCTTGAACCAACAGGGGGCGCTCGGGATACACAGAGGACGGGGCAGCCCAGGGCAGGTGCAGGTGCAGGTCAAGGGCTGCTCTCCTTCAGGGCCTGTGGCTTCCTCTGCATCTAACGTTCCCTGGGAGGGTCTGTGTATTTACAGTTATGTCCCTGCTACTGAGGCATCTACGTTTGTGCAGTTTATAACTATAGGAGCAGCCATGACCAAATGCCCCAAGGCAGGTGCCACTGAGGGAGAAAGAAAAGTGTGCAGGAGGCCGGGTGAGGCTGTGGACAGTGTCCGCCCAGGATTCAAGTTTCACAAGCAGAGAAGGGGAAATGGGGAATTCGATGGGGCTCCCCAACCACCACGAGGTCCACAGTAAGTCCAGCATGGCCAGCAGCCCCCCTGGGCTATAGGTGCCCATCAGGGATCAGCCGTGTGCCCCGCAGTGCGTTCCCTGATGGTGGAGAAGCGGGAGGTGCAGTCCCAGGGCCAACACACCGTCCATGCATTTTTATATGGAAACCATGATGTTTCTTGCTTCTCTCAGATGACATAGAGGACGTCTCCTTATTGGAAATTACTCTTAATTTATCTCTTAGAATCATTGTATCCAGAGCCCTGGCCACCCAGTGCGCCCCACGGAATGGGGCGGTGCCGGGCTGACCCCAGCGCCAGCTGCCACATCTTCCACACCGGGAGCAGATGCAGACGTGGGGGAGAGAGATCGTGAGACGCCTGGTCTGATGGCGCCGGAGACAGAACAGCCCATTCTCGCCCGAGCCCATGGCTTCCAGATCGACCCCAACATCAGGAAGAACTGGATCCTGCGAGCTCAGCGGTCACCGTTTCCTCCTTCTATGACGTCACAAGGAACCGCTGTCAGATCGTCACGTGGGCGGAGCCAAGGCGACCATCAACGGCACAATCGCACCAAATACGCCCTTCCCCAAAACGCCACAGAAGTCTGGGCAGGGCCGACAGCGGAGCCCACACGGTGTTTGCTTTGGGGTTTTCCTCTGAGCAGCAGCTGACAACGTTTGCAGAGGAATTCCAGGAGCTGGAGGAAGCTGCTGAGATGCCCAAAGACAATGCCCGGGAGAAAACCGAGACCTGGAGTCACGGTTTCCAGTGATCTGGGCGTGAAGCCCCATCTGCAGCTTCGGCATCCAGTGTCGAGGGCGGCGATGAAAAGGCCTCTCAGCCGCTGCAGCCGACACGCACCGGAAGTCTGAGAAGGACGCGCTGAGATCGCCGTGACGCAGAGCGCGGCCACCGCGCAGGAGCGGAAGCTGAGGCTGCAGCCCCTGAGGAGAGCCACGCCCCGCGGACCACGGTGCTGCTGGAGGCGGCGGCCAGCACGGAGCCGGGAAGAGGCCGGGACACCAACAGGGAGGAGCAGAAGAACACGCAGCTCAAGAGGAGGATGGAGGAGCTGGAGGCGGAGCTCCGAGAACAGGAGACGGAGCTGAAAGGTCCCTGAAAACAAAGTGAAATCCCACCTCAGCTCCTGTCAGAGCGCGGCTATGTCTCTGAGAAGCTCGAGGTGACTGAGAGAATGAAAACCCAGAAGACACAGGTCGCTACCTAAAGACAGACACTGAGGACAGCAAACGTCCACAGCGCCACCTGGAGGTGGAGGCGAACAGCTTCCCGGAGCTGCGGGACCGGAAGTTCAATGACCCGCCCAACTTCCGCCCAGGCCTCCCCACGCTAAGCACCAGTAGCTAGGGCTGTCAAGAACTGGGCCCACCCATGAGTCCCACGTGTGTGTGCGAGACCAGACAGCACTAGGACGTTCTCCTGTATTCAGTAAATGCTGTTGCGATAGCTGGATTCTAACTGATATGCAGAATGCAAGAGTAAAAGAGGCTGGGCAGTTTATATCTAGATTTTAGAAGATGTGTAGGGAATCCTATATGCCCAGGAAGAAGCCTGCTGCAGGGGTGGATCTACCCCAAACATCCTCTACTAAGGCGGTGCCAAAGATGGGGAAAGATGTGGCTGGAGCCCCCATTCAGAGTCTCCACTAGGGCATTTCATCATGCTGTGGGAATGTGGCCACAACCCTCAAGACCCTAGAATGGTGGAGACAGATGCAGCTTGCACTCTTAGCCTGGAGCAATTCCTGGCATTTTACTCTGGCCTGTGAAAGTGGCCCCATGGGCTGTGCCCAGCTGTAGGGATGAGATGCCTGAGATTTTTA